TGCTGGCACCCAAAAATACACGTGAACAGGTCCAGAGGGGCTGCAATCCCAGGGACATCCTCCACAGCCACAAAGCATGAGGTGTACTTGCCCTACAAGCTCAGGGTGATGCTTTATCCTTGAAATAGCATTGACTGTAGAGCAGTGAATGGCCCAGGGGAAGGCCTCAGACTTAATCCTCTTGGTGCCAGTGTGAGATGAGCTGCAAGACACTACAACCAAAAGGGCTCGGCAGACCTCCATCCTCCCAGCAAGGCTGGAAGTGATCAGCAAGATGCACCGATGTCCCAGCCTGCAGCAACTTTATCCCTGTGGCACTCAGACCCTGAAGGCACAAGGTTCTTTGGGAACCTTCACTTATGTGCCTATTGAGCAGCCATTTGTCCCAGCAAAGACCTTTAACAAATAAATTACCTTCCAATTAAGTAGGTTTTTTCATGTTCATAGCAAATAAACCTACAATCCCTTAAGGTACTCTATTTAGCGCAACTAAAGGTACTCTATTTACTGCAACTAAAGGTACTCTATTTACCGCAACAAACAGCATTAACAGGACAATCAGTTCAGCATGTTGTTTCTGCTAATTCCTTGAGAAATTACCTCTTAGTAGATGGGTAATCAAGAGCCAGAATACCATTAAGACCAATCAGAGAAATAAGGTGTTGTCAAATTAATTCATGTTTAGCCTATTTAACAAGTCAGAATCTTTTCTCTTGCTTCCTACAAAGGATGAAATCATGCTCACTTTGTTTTATAAAATATGCCTGCATGGCATGTAAAGGCATGTTTAAAGACTCAAGATAGAGTATGTAACACAGCAGATTAAATACAAAGAGCAAGTCTTAAGTTTCTCCCTTGTTTTCTGACATTCAAATTTCAACATGACTATTAGCTTGCCATTCATCCACCCGTAAAGAGACGCAGATTTAAAAATAGAAGCATTCCCCTCCAGTAAATGACAGTGACTCAATAACTTCTCCATCAGTCTACACACAGGAACAATCAAACATACAGAAAAAAATGCTTGGACTTGTAAATACTTGGTTAATGTTAAATTCTAGGGAAGAATTCCCAGAGAAACACATGAAACAAATCCATCACCCTGAGATCTTTGATGTGCTTTTCCCAAAGCTGGTGGGTAATGCGCTTGCAATTGTTTTACAAGCAAAATGTGACTGTCCCAAGAATTTGGCATGGAAAAGCTGTGATTCCTCTCAAGACATGAAATCATACAATCCTAAAATCACAGAATCATCAGGGTTGGAAGGGACCTCTGGAGATCATCCAGTCCAACCCCCTGCCAAGGCAGGGCCACCCAGAGCAGGTTACACAGGAACATGTCCAGGCAGGTTTTGAATGTGTCCAGAGAGGGAGACTCCATGACCCCCCTGGGCAGCCTGTTCCAGACTGGTTTGGATTGGGAAGGACCTTAAAGCTCATCCAGTTCTAAACCCCCGCCAAGGGCAGGGACACCTTCCACTAGAGAAGGGTGCTCCAAGCCCCATCTAACTTGGCCAACCTGCACAACTCTTGTCTATGTGTACCTCCCAGCCAAGTCATCAGGATCTCCTCTGCCATCAGCCTTCAGGCCTCCATTTGCAAAAGCACGATTGTTTTTATGGTGCTCTTATGGAGCACTCTGCATGCCTTCATTCTGGGGACATGTCCTTCACCCGGGACATGGATAACCTCAGTCTGGGAGCAACCTGGAAAACAACAGTGACCAGGCCTGCTGGATGGGATCGTGAGCGAGGTGAGAGGGAGGACCCCGGTATTGCCTGGGGAAGTGCACATTCCCTGTGGTTACTGCACTCCTGGAAATGGAGAAAGAATGGCAGGCGTCTCACAAAGCACAGCATACTGATGGTCCTTTGTGCATGTAACAGAGACAGCAAGAAAATCCCAATTTCTCTTCACCAGCTCATTGCAGCAACTGCAGAACCAATTTTCTAAGTGAAGAACAATTACTGACTGTGATCCCTTTTGCCCTCAAAAATGTTCTGCAGCTATCAATTTGCTTTGCTCCTGTCTGCTAGAGCCAGCAATTACTCCAAAGGAGCATTATTTAAACAAAAGGGCTTTTGGCAATCTGCTTGATGCCAGCCAGGCAGAAAAGGGTGACCCAGAGGAGATACACTGCTCAGGATGGTGCTGTAAGCTCATCTTGCGCTATACCAGGCTCATGGCATCATCTATGCTCCCCCACTGAGCAGAGCTAGAAATACACCTTGGAGGAGCTGGCCAAATTCATACCTTGAGGTTGGTGGTGCCAGTGCTACTAGTGCTTTACAGGTCTGGTTTGCCGTAAGGGAACAAGCAACCGAGAAGATGTGTTTGGGTGCCACTTGGAGCAAGCAGGAGGATGCTGCTGAGCACTAGGTGCTGCTGCCTTGTCCCAACCCATCCCCTCCAGCAGGTCAGAGCTGCTTCTTCCTCTGTGTCTCCCTCTGCTCACCCCGTGGAGCAGGGTGAGCCTCAGGGCTCCCTCCCTTGGGTGCAGACAGCACCCAGTGAGCAGCAAAGGGCACACACAGGGGAAGGCACGACCACCGCTTGAGCAAAAGATGGGTGAAAAAATGAACTCTGAAACCAGAGGTTTATGCACCTATAACAAGAAACACTTGTTCCCCTCCCCAGCAAGCAGTGCTTGCTAAGCCATGGTGCCCACTGGCAGGGAAGCAGAAGAGAAAATTAGTAACTTAAGGAGAATATTTTCATCAGAAAATACTGGCACAGGGGCTGCTTCTCCTGGGATGGCAGAACCACTTGTACATCCCGCTTCTCCTCACGCGGCTGCAAGCCAAACCAGGGAATTGGGGCTCACCATCTGCTTCGTGCACAAATTAAAACAAAAAGAGAGCACTTCTGCAAGATAAGAGGCAAAATTGGGGCTGCTCCCTTGGTCCCTTCCAGCTGGTGGAGAGCCAGGATGGAGTCCTGTCCCAGCACATCTCTCTCAACTGTCAGCATCTCC